ATCAGCACCTCCCCAACATGTGCAAAACATTGTGTTAGCCTCTGTAGATACATAATCCAAATAAATTTTCAATAGCCACCTTGACTACTAAGTATATTAATCACTAATTATAGATGAGAACTGAGTATAGAGAGATTAGCCATAGCATAACAAGTTAATGGAAAGTCTAGATTCAAATACAGATAGGTCTGATCCTATAATAATAAACAGGCCTCTATAACTTGCTATATGTGCCAAGGGAGAGTTTTGAGGAGAATGTAGCTCGCAGCATCATTCATCACAGAGAGCTCAAATGGGATAGCTGCTACCAAGAAATGTTAACATTCAGCTGTCCCTTCATGGTAATAAAGATCATCGCCGTGGTCTAAAAGAAAGTATTCTCCATAAAATATTCTATATAAAAACCAATAAAGCCTGGCTGGTGTGGCTCAGTGGTTGAGCATCAACCCATGCACCAAGAGGTCACTGGTTCAATTCCCAGTCAGGCAGGGCACATGTGGCGTGGGGGGGGGGATGCAGGAGGCGACCAATCGATATTCTCACTCATTGATGTTTCTATTTCCCTACCTCTCCCTACCTCTCTTTATTGATAAAAATCAATAAAGAAGAAAAAAAAAACAATGAAATATAAAAATTCTAAAGGTTTGTTCAAAGAAAGTGAATATAAAAATAGCTGAACTCTTCTGAGAAGTTAAACAAATGGAAAAGATTAGTCTATGCAAAGATGAGTGGATGTTGAGGAAAGGGTATTTGTTTGGAAGGTTGGTTCAATTTTTTTAGTAAAAGAAGAGTTGAACATGGTTATAAATTTAAGGGCGAAATCCAGGGGAGAAAGAAGACTCAAATTACTGAGGGAAAATAAAAATGGACGGAGCAAGTTCCTACAGGAGATAGTAGGAAATAGAATGGCAGCATGCCTCTAAAAGAAAGAAGTCAGTTCACCTAGGAAAGAAGAATAGTGATTACAGAGTGATGTGTAGGAGAGGAAGAGATTTAAGAGAATTTGCCACAGATGTCCCATATCTTCTCAGAAAAGGAAGATATGCGTCATTTTGAATGGCAGGTAGAGTCTGTTGTGTGGATAGAAACGATTTGGAATCCTTCCTACCAAGAAAAGCATAAGGAAGAGTCAACTAGAGGTGAACAAAAGAATTTCCCAACAACTCAGAGTGTATACTAATTATAGTGTCACAAATTTCTAGTTGAGCCAATTGGCACAATTTTGTGACTTTTTCTGGTAACACTAGCCATCCAGGAGTAAGATCAGAGAAAAGGCACCATGCTGTCTTCCCAGGTGAGGTGAAGGAAGCTCAAGGTCACAGTAGATAAGAGGCATTTTTTAAAATATCCTCACCCAAGGATATGTTTTTATTGATTTTTTTAGAGAGAGAGGAAGCTAGAAGAGAGAAAGAGAAACATCAATTTGAAAGAGAAACATTGATTGGTTGCCTCTCATAGGTACCCTGACTGGGGATCAAACCCACAGCCTAGGTCTGTGCCTTGAATGGGAATCAAACGCACAACCTTTGGTGTATGGTATGATGCTTCAACCAACTGAGCCACCTAGCCAGGGCTGGAGGGACTTCTTGATGCTAATTAGAAGCTACATGAATTGGTGGACCTAGAGTAAACTAGAATGTAAAGGGTTAAAATAATTAAAGATATAACCTGATTCATTAAGTGAATTCAGTGGGTACCAGAGCCCTGCTGAAGTAACTCTTGCTCTGTGTGGTGGGCCACTGCATGGCTGATCCTCCAAGGTAGTCAAAGGTCAGCGATCAGTGGTCAGTGGACACAGCCAGGCTTTGCAGCTGATCAGCCTGAGTAAATCCCTCCCACGTACATGCCAATAGCAATCAAGGCTCAATTACAACAGAAGGATGTACAGTCTACATGAAAGGTGCATCTCAAGGGCCCACCTGCGGTGATCAAGGAGGTTGTGCCACTGGACCCTACAGGACACCTACTATAATAGGCTACCCTGCAAAGCCTAGGAGACATAGCAACAAACACAAAATGAGGAGACAAAGAAACATGTCCCAAATGAAAGTACAGAACAAAACTCCAGGAAAAGAACTAAATGAAACAGAGATAAGCAATCTCACAGATGCAGAGTTCAAAACTGAGGTCAAGGAACTTAGTGAGGATCTCAAGAGCATAAAAAAGGACCACTAGGAAATGAAGGGTTTACAGTCAGAAAAGAAGGAAGCACTAATTGAAATGAAGAACAATGTATAGGGAATCAATAGTTGAGTCGGTGAAGCTAAGAAGCAAACCATCAATTTGGAATATAAGGAAGCAAAAAACACCCAATCAGAATAGCCAAAAGAAAAAATAATCCAAAAAAAATGAGGATAGTGTAAGGAACCTCTGGGACAACTTCAAGGGTATCAACATTCACCTCATGGGAGTGCCAGAAGGAGAAGAGAGAGAGCAAGAAATTAAAAACCCAGTTGAAAATATAATGACAGAAAACTTCCCTAACTTGGTAAAAGAAACAGACATACAAGTCCAGGAAGCCCAGACAGTCTCAAACAAAATGAACACAAAGAGACCCACACCAAGATACACCATAATCAAAATGCAAAAGGTACAACAGAGAGAAATCTTAAAAGCAGCAAGAGAAAAGCAGTTAGTTACCTACAAGGGAGCTTCCATCAGACTGTCAGCCAATTTCTCAAAAGAAACTTTGCAGACCAGAAGAGAGTGGCAAGAAATATTCAAAGTAATAAAAAGCAAGGAGCTACAACCAAGATTACTCTACCCAGCAAAGCTATAATTTAGAATCAATGGACATATAAAGAGTTTCCCAGACAAGAAAAAGCTAAAGGAGTTCATCACCATTAAACTAGTATTATATGAAATGTTGAAGGGTCTGCTTGAAGATCAAAAATATGAACAATAATAAAATGGCAATAAATACATATCTATTCAATCTATTTTGATTGAATCAACAAACAAAATGAACAAGCAAAACAGAAACAGACTTATAGGTACAGAGAAATTTTGTTAGTTGCCAGATGGGAGGGGTTTGGGGGACAGGTGAAAAAGGTGAAGGGATTAAGAAGTATAAATTGGTTGTTAGACTGATGAACCTCAAAGGGAAGGCAGTAGGAGGGACAGGAAGAGATAAACCAAAGAATTTATATGCATATATGCATAACCAATGGACACAGACAATAGTGTGGGGAAGGCAGGAGTGGGGAAGAGGTGGTCAATGGGGGAAAAGGGGGGAAACATCTGTAATACATTCAACAATACAGATAAATTTTTTTTAAAAAAGAGTAAAAGGAAAAGAAAAAGAATAGATGATTATGGCCACAAAAGGAAATTTCCAAATTCAAGATTTTAGAATTGAGATAGTTTTGAACGATCATTGCTTTGACGCCTTCACATGAGGTGCCATGAATGATCATGTCACCCCGATGTCCCACTTTACTTGTTAGAAAATGGAAGGCCAGGTCAACTGATTTTCCAAAAGTCACTCCATAACCAGTGGCAGAACCAGGACTAAACCTGAGATATTTTGAGGAGCACCTTGAAATTTTAAATAAAATTATAATAGTCATTAAACGATAGTCCCACACACAAAAAAGAATGGTAGAGACAGTCGAAGGAATGAGAATGGATGTGATCCACAACACAGTCTCAGTATAGCATGTGGTATACACATACTTCCTATCTCAAAATCTGTATTATACTATTCCTCCTCTTTCCTGTTTCAGCTTCCTCTTAAAGGAGAGAGAAGATAAAATGTGTTCCACAGGTTGAATTAGCAGCTCCCTCAATGGGCTTTGGGAGAAGAATTCAGCCTGAGGGAACATGCTGCCAACCTCAACTGCACTGTACATGGCCTCCAGTTATCTCAGAGTGCCAGGGTGTGTGTCCATGACGTATTGGGTCTACTACTTTAACTTCCTCCATACCTCTTATGTTTTAAAAAGATTCCTTTGTCTTGATTGTTGCTATGAGTTTTAATTTTAAACTGTAGCAAAATGTAACTGGCAAGTTTAGGAATGAGGGAAATTGTTATTTTAAAGTTTGGTTTAAATAAGTTAACCCAACAGAAATTCATTACTTCATCTTAGTATCCATCCCTCTTTTGACCTCCAAGGAAGGATATAAATTTAAACATAGAAAAAGAAAGTAAGATTTGTGTTTGGTGTTCTTGGTTATCACACATGTATCATATTTTACCATGAAAATATTTTTCTTTATTATGTCTTTAATTAAAGATGTGTATCACCAACTTTGTTTGAGAAAGTTCACTTTGACTCCTTTGTGAAACTGCAATTTTATTGCAAAGATTCAGTCAGGAAAGGTTATTCCTCTCAGGCAATGGCTTCCCAAGGGGGCCACATGGAAACTGTCTTCCTGGATTGGGGCAGTATTTGATTCCTGACATTGTTTAGAATTTCTGGTGTGTGCTGATGATAAAAAGCAAACTGGATTTTGGTTAATTTCATCATTGTCCTTAGACTTTCTGCAGACGAGGCACTGCTTACTTCTTACCTTTAGAATGGACCACTTCCACAAACCGCCCCAACCTTGGTATGCATCTGACCTCAAGTTCTCCTCTCTGGAGTTGAAAACAGACTAAAATGGCATTAGAGAAAAAGAATTTCATGATATAAACAAGGTGACCACTGTCTATGGCATTTGGGCCAAATCTGGCCCTATGTCTATTTTTGTAAATATAATTTGTTTATTATATTTGTTTAACATTTTATCTTAGATGGCTTTGATGCTACAACCACAGAGTTGAGTAGCTGGGGCAGACATCATATGTCCTTCAAAGCCTAAAGTACTCTTACACCCTTTACAAAAAAATTCCTTGACCCTTGATCAAGAATCAAATCGTTACTTATTTTGTGGACATGTAAGCAAGACAATTATTTCACATTCATATTATGGGGCCGTCATTTAACAAGTGTCTTGGTGAAATGTTGACCATTGACCAACATTATATTTACCTGCTAATTTCTCTGGTTTATTTTTAGTCCCTGCTATGTGGATATTTGTTAGCAATGACTGATGTGGAAACTACATATGCAGATTTCATTGCTTCAGGAAGAACGGGTAGAAGAAATGCAATACATGATATCCTGGTTTCATCTGCAAGTGGCAACAGCAATGAATTAGCCTTGAAATTAGCAGGTCTTGATATCAACAAGACAGGTGAGTAGTTTGGCACACTTCTCTCTATGAACTTAGAGTGATTTCAGCATTTTGCTAGGTAGGATTAAGGCATGATGAATCACCTTCAAAAGTAGCCTATAGAATTATAACAGTCTAAGGCAGGATAAAAGTCAGGGACTGATGTCTTACTCCTACCCTCTTTTCAATGACTTCTCTTTACAGAGTTTCCCACTCAAATGCTCTGCAATAATGACAACAATATAATGACAAACAAAATATCACTAGCTGAGAATTGAGAGGGACTTCTTTTGTAATCCCTGGGTGTTTCAGCTTCTTTTTAGTTCTTACTCAACAAGATTGCTATCCCTTGTTTACCTTGACTTGTTAGCAATCTTCTACTTAGCCAGTTTGTAGTTTATGCTAAATCCTGAGAAGCGTCCCCAGAAAGTCCCTAGAAAAGTCAGCTAGAAAGTCCCAAGTACCATGAGAGTCAAATTCCTCATCTTGTATTTATGTAACAGTTTCATCTTTAAATACTCTACTCTCTTGTATCTGTCCTAGTCTGACTTCATTCCTTTGGTTACCGAGTTTCTCCTGTTTGTCAAGTTCTTGCTTCATGCTAATCTACACATCTTAGTTTCAGGACATCTGCACTCCTTGGGAGCCCAGTCATTGCTCTGATAATGAAAATAGTGTATGAGAATGTTATAAAATGCCTGGTTCCCTTGGGACCTCCCTAGAACAGATTTTTTTTTTAATGTAGAAGAACTACTTTTAATTTCCCCAAAGTATGGCATATGGTGAGAGGTTTTGTGCACACTTGTTAAGGAATTGTTTTTCAACATTTCTGCTTACAGAGGGGACGAGCCCACTTACCTCTAACCATTTGGATTACAGTAACAAGCTCTTAGCAAACATTGTTACAATTTACATGATTGCAACATCCCCAAATATTTTGTCCACAGAGCCACATTGGTTGCCTAGTAATGACCTAACACAGGCAAATATATGATCTTTGAATCACGGATTGCCTACAGCTTGCCCTCAGGTGAAGTAACATTTGTGGAGAGAAAACACGTAACGTCAGTGTTTGCCACATCACTAGCTGCAGTTGCTGCAGAGGGCGCAGTTAGGAGGGCGGGTTCATTGGAGTGGTGTGTGTGTTCTCTAAGGGCAGGCTGGAGCCATTTCTGTGTGACAGGGGACTGACCAGCTGGCATAATGTCCTTTCATCTTCCACTCTCGGGGTTTTTTTAAGATGATGGAAATTTTATTTATTTATTTGTATTTATTTATTTATTTGTGTTCCTTTTTTTTAAAGTTGTTTTCTCCAATTTTTATCAATTTATTTTTGTTACAGATGTTTCTCCTTTTTCCCCCTTAGACTCCCGCCTCCCCATCCTGCCCCCCCCCCCACCTCCTAGCATTGTTGTCTGTGTCCATTGGTGTTGCATACATGCATATAAGTTCTTTGGTTCATCTCATTAAACTAACTAGACCACTGAGAAATCAGCTTATCAGGTTATCATCAAGTACTATAAATAATGTAAAATGCATTTTTTTTAAAATTCTGAAAATAAGAAAGTCAGGAATAAAAAGGGATACTTGCTCCCCACTTCTGATTTCGGCCTAAGGACCCTTGTGAAGTCCGCCACCCATAAACCTTTTTAAAATGAGTGCCAGGGCATGAGATTTCCTAGTTATTTATCCAAAGCATACGTGATCACTTGTGAAAATTCAGTTATTATTTTATCTCAAAGCCAAAATGAGCTAGCCCACTTAAGCTATTTTCTTAATGGGTTAATTACTTAACAAGAAAACACACTTTCTCTGAGGATTTCAAACTTCTGAAATATTTCTTACATTCGCAATGTGATGTGCCGAGAGTGGGTAAATATGAACAACCGTTTTTATTTTGCCTTTATCCTTTCTTTCCGTTGTCTCTTACAGAAGGTGGAGAGGATGCCCAGCGGAGTTCAACAGAACAGAGTGGGGAGGCCGAGGGGGAAGCAGCCAAACCTGAGAGCTAACACCCCGCGTTGATCTTCCTCCACCTGACCATGTCTCAGGTCTCCAGACCTGGCAGGAATGTATTTGTGTCCACGGGTGACAAGGGGAGAAAGGAAATGGCTGTGCTGAGTGGCAGGAACCTGCTCGCTGTCATGTTAAACATGGGGGCAGAGGTTCTGGCTGCAGGCAGACTTTTCTCCACCTCTGTCCTTAGCAATGGCTGAAGTCACGTGGCTTGTGTCTGGATGTCATTTTGTAGGGATCCGTGCACTTGACCACATGACGAAACGCTTGTAGACGGTAGCAGCGTGATGATTCTCCCTGTAGCATCTGGCCCCTCACAGTGTCAGAGGATTTAATTGTGTCTAATTGCAAAGGGTTGGTTGAAACCCAGAGTTTAAGTATCTCTGGCCCAAGTATTCACCCAGTAAGAAAACCATCCAGAAAGCACTGTTTTTAGCATTATGTGTCCATGTGTTCCTGCTGTGTGACTTACACTGTTTTGTATTGTACAATATAGATTCTGGGCACTGAATGCCCCCTTCTCTGATTGCTCATGAAAAACAAAAAAATGTACGTACTGTGAATTTTTATACCGCTCATTTTTAAAAGGGCTGCCTTCTTTTCTTCTCCATAGTGTGATGGTGTACACAAGATAGAACATACTTTTTTAAAACTTAATATTTCCCCTTGATTCACTGCTGATGAATCGATGAAGTCTAATAGTTCTGTCAGGACTCCTTTGCTTTTATGATGCAGGAATATGGAAAGATCCATTAATGTGAATATTACCTGAATTCAGTAGGTCTGCTGTCTGCATAGACCAGAATTCAATCTAAAAATTTTATTCTATTCCCAGGTAGAGAACTTTCCCCAACTAATATTTTTATCTTTGATTATGAGGATTTGGGAGAATTAGGAAGGTAGGAAAGAGAAGCTGGGATAATGCTAACAACTGGAAATGTTTTATTCTTATGGAATAGAATTTCTCACAATGCTGTACGCTACTGTTTAAGTTTGGAAGACAGCTTATTTCCAAGGAGATTAAAAAGATGGAGAAAATGATCTCCTTGCAATCATGTGGACACCAATCACAAAAATAAAGCCCTCGTGTTGTGTTTTTCTTGTCCTTTTTCGGCCCTATCAGATCCAGATGTTATTATGCACTTTTTAATGTTTGTAAACTTTTACTAATAATTAGTGTGACTTGCATTCTGATATAATCATCATCATCATTAGAAGCTAACAAAATCTTCATTCATACTGTTGATGGCCTCAGCTATGTTCTGACATCATGGTTCTTATTTGGAAAGTTTCTGTGAGCTGTGTAATCCCTCCAGTCAGTATTATAAGGTCATTTGTCAGTGATAATAAATAAGGACCCAGTAATATGCCATTGGCTCATGAATTACTGGACAACAGGAAGACCCTTTATGATAAAGGGCCCACCTAACTGTCCTCAAGGTCTTAGTCCAGTCCCATATGAAGCAGGCTAAGCAGCATTTCAACAGGTAACCACATGGATAACCAGGAACTCAGCCCTCTTTTGTATGTGCGAACAGGATGAAAGGTAAGTCTGCCCTCATCCCCCTCCCTTTATAGTACTTTTCAAAGGAGAGGGATAAGGTCATGGGTATCATATGGTCCTCAATCATAGATTCCTAGAAAAAAAAAATTGTTTATAGTGTGAGTCTCTTAGAAAATAGAAGAAAAAATAAGTTTTAGAGGACTTTTTCCTATCTAAACCACTAGGGTCCAAAATGACCATTTAAAATTCAAATAAATCTACCTATGAATGGACTTACAAGTGGAAAAAGAGGTTCCTGAGGCTATTTTAGACAATCATTGGTAGTCCACTTAAGACATCCAACCCATAAAAGCCCTTTTTCACTATCCTCATTTACTATCCTCGTAACTTTCTTGTGACTCTAGGTTAAGTTCTCTCCGCCCTTCAAGTTGTGGAATTCCACACTGAGTTCGTGTGGTTTTGTAAAGTTTAGGACTAGTGCTGAGAACATGTGGAGGGTTGATATTCCTATGTGATATACTATGATTAATGCATGTGATGTCATGCTTGTCTTTGAATATATAATAGAGCTAAACTGCAAAGTCATATATAGCTTTTGAATTCTTTTGACCTCTTACTGCTACTTTGTCTGCTGCATTGAAACCCAGAGGCATTCCCAAGCTGAAAGATAAAAATTCACTTTCCACAACGCCTACTTGACAAATATTGCTCAGCAAAAGTTCACAGGATCTTCCAGATTTTATCATAATATCTTTTACTTGCAAGTCAGTAATATACAAGAAATTGAATTTTTAAGGAGAGTAGGAGAGGGTAGAAAAGCAAAGGCACTGTTGATAATACACAGTGAATGCCAATTAACTAACCAACATGCCAATCACTTTCCAGCGCTCATTCTCCCACTGAATCCTCAAACAATTCAGTTAGAGGTAGCATTATCCCATTTCACAGATTAGGAAATTAAGGCAGAATGGGATATAACTTCTCAAAGCTTAAAAGGCTAATACTTGATGAAATTAAGATTTGAACCTATCTTCATCTGTCTCCAAGGAGATTTCTACTGCACAGGCCATAAATCCAAAGCCAATAACAGAGCATGTGTCTCTAGATTGGGAACATTTAGAAGTGGGTGAGTTCAGCCTCCATATTTTAGAGAGGGAAACTGAGTCCCAGGAAGGGGAATTGTCTTCCTCAAAGTTACCTACGTGACAAATGACACACATGTGTCCAAATTGTGGAAACTATACTTTTTAAAGAAAGAAATGAGCATTTATTTGTGTGTGTGTGTGTTATACTTCCCAAAAGTTCTTTTTCTGATATGCAGTCAATAAATTTAGCACAGTTCAGGTATTTTTTATGCCCTGTGCTACCCATTTTGTTTAACTAGAAATATGACAATTTCAATTTTTGGACTCATTTTCAACAAATGTGAACTTATCAAATTTACCTTTTTATCGATTGTAAGCCTCTTATGCCAGCATATTGTTATCATAAATTTATTAAAATGTTCTCACCAATGGATGACAGGCATCCTTCAACTTGGGGGCAATACCCCAAGAGCTGCGCACTATAGTGCCCTACCCTTGAGTCTTCCTCAGACCCAGTGGAAATCCACCGTTTTAGAAGATGAATGATACTGCTATTCCTCTTCAAAGATGCGATAAAGAGTAAAGAAATGTAACTGCCTGCAGGTAGCAATGCTTTGTGAAGTCTAAGTAATAGGGAGAAAATGTATAGTCATTGAGTGAGAACAGGAAAGGATCTGTGATTTATGGTATCTTGATAGGCCCTACATTGTTCTTTAATTAAAAGTGGCAGTCTCTGAAGTCATTTGTGAGCTTGTATGACTTTTGTATCTAGCAATGTTGCATGCTCACATAATTGATATTAAAAGTAATACATTTTTCTGAAATGTACAGTCGTTGAAGAGTATTTATTGAACACACGCCATGTATTTAGTGCTTGAGAAAGTGCTGTGGGTGATGAAAACAAAAGGCAAAGCCTCAGCCATCCTGAGGTGGACACACCCACCATTCCAGCCTCACCTTTCCCAGCCTTTACTCCAATTATTTCCACCTCCATTCCACCAAGGGAGCTTGCTTCCTGGACTTTATCATCTACCAGAGCCAACTCTTAAATCATAAGCCCCAACATCACTCCTGTGGTTCTTACGTGCTCATCTGCAGGGCAGTGATTTAATATTAGAAGAAAGATGGGTGTTTACCAGAATTTCCTGAAAGTTTTTACTATATTCCCTCCTCCACCAGCTCATGCATATATTCACTTACAAACACTCTCTTCCCTTGGAGCACTCCTGTGCAACGTTGATAGCTTTCCTCCCACCCTCTCTCTCAGCAACGTGAGAGTCAGAGGTCTAGAAGAAGTATACATTTTCCAGATGTACCTGCCCCGTGCATGCCACCAAAAAGCTTTAAAAAGAAGCAACAGAAAATTAGAGTGCTCACAGACACCCAGGGTCTTACTATAGTAGGAATAACATCTTGGCATAGAGGAGCAAAGAGAATGTAACTTCTTTTATCTTGATGTTGCTCTCTTCGTTGTTTTTCTCACATGTAGGTAGTAAAGACCAGGCAGAGACTAAAGAAGGACTCTGGATAAAGGAAACATCACACAGCACTCAGCCCGAGTCTAGGGAAGGTCTTGAATCAAAGGAGCAGAAGAGATGGTAGATCTTTCAGTTCATCTTACTGGAGTCACAGTACAAAACACTTTCACAGGGATGTGGGACAAACTGCTAGCCAGTGTGGCAAGTGTGTATTACCCTAGTGTCTCTGATCTTGCATATTTTTTGCATCTGTCTGGTCCAGAACATGGGAATTTGGGATCCTGGCCAGCTCTCATTCTTAAGTCAAAATGAACAAAACAATCTGACTATAACCTGTTAACAGTGGAAGTTTCCTACTTCTTGTCTAAGATTTAGTCCTTCATCTGAGGTTTTAAAATCATATTTTCTTTCTGACCTTAACTGGAGGTCTGTTAATTATCCTTTAATCTTCATTGACTTTTCCCTTTTCCACAAATATACTTAAGTTCTCAAGTTCCCCTCTTTCCTTCACTACTTATATTTCTCAAAATAGTAATCTATGCTTTCTATTTTCATGCTTCTCCTCCTTATTTCTTATCACTTTGCATTTTGACTTCCAATTAAATTTTTCTCATTACAAACGACATCTTTGGTAGTTCCCAGACTCTCAGTAATTTCACTGATGCCCTGGGCAATGTGGAAATGAAAAAGCAATGCTGTTACAGAGGACTCAAGCTTCACCTAAAATCAAATTGAATAAGTTTACTATTATAATTGATATCAGTGTGACAGGACATAGATAAGTAGTAAAGCCTTCTTAAGGAAGGAATCTATATATCCCCAAAAAGTCCATTTTCTTCTCCAAGTCCACATCTTACATCAAATGTGGATGTGTCTTTCTCTTTGACCACATTCTCCCAAGTCCTCAATTCTTCATTAGGGTGGGAGCCATGCATACAGACTCTAACCTGGACCCTGGGCATCTAGGAATGGACACAGTTCTCTCACGGTGTTTTTGAGTTCTGTGTTCTATTAACCTCTTGGACAACTGCCAGTGATAACATCACTCATTCCTCTCAATAGCAGCCATGTACGAGCTAAAACACTCCACTTCTTTAACCCCAGTCCACTCTAGTTCTCTGAATGAGACCTAAACAAACATATCAATCCCAATGGCCCAATATAAGGGATAGTTTATATATGTTTTATTAGCCAACCCTATGGCATATAATCCTGTTCACGATGGGATTTTTTTTTTGAGATACAGTCGTCCCTTGCCACTTCGCGCTTCGACTTTTGCTGCTTCACTCTATCGTAATTTTTTCAAATATATTCATTCAAAAGTTGATCAAGACAGTGAAAATGATACAGCACATGCTTGGTTGACTGAGTCAATTATACACCCCTGTATTACATTTAAAATTAAAATGACTGTATGTATGGACTGTAGGCCTACGTATTCAAGCACCCCAGAAATCCTTCAATGCCAGGTGCAACCGCTAGAGTCTGGAATGGATCAACCGCCATAAACAAGGCATGACTTTACTTCATTTGCCTTCCTATTTTTCCCCCAGATGGTTTTTTCTTGGCAGGGGCAGGTGGGGGGTGTTGTTGTTCCTTTCTCTCTGTCAGTTTTCCCCACTCTCCTTGACTAGGGCGTCCTTTTCTACCTCCCCAATAACTGTTGTGGTTTCCTAGGATTCTATCCTTATTCTTATTCTTCAATCCCAGTCTATAGATTACCTCTACCACCCCTGCACCATCAATCACTATATATACATGATTAATTTCGTATCTTCATCTCTAACCCAAAGCTCACTCCTGATTACCCAACCTATTGAAGAGATCAACATGGATTTCCCAAAATTATCTTAAAATAAAACATTCCAACACTAAATCCAGTATATGACGCCATTCCCAAACCTGCGTTTCTTCATATACTACAGATCTCATTGAATGGTAGCACTGTTTTCCCAGGGTTTTCATAACTCTTCTTCCACTTTTTTTCAGTCCATCAATTCTAATTCTTAGCTACTTCTTGAGATGGCCCACTTTTTTTTTTTCCTGCACTTCAACCTTTTAAATCATCACTTGGCTAATCTAATGCCATGGCATGCTCACCAAAACCAGCCTCATCTGGCACTCTTTCTGTCCATCTTTCAACCAGATGTATCCTTCTAATGCATCAGTAATGATTTCACTCTGCTAGTTTACAAAATCCTTCAATTTAGTCAGGCAAAACTTTTTGCTAGAAGTGCCACATTTTATTTTTTTGTAACTTTTTGTTCCGTGTTAGCTCTTTTCCTATTCCTAAGGTCTTTTCTTCTTCATGCTGGTTGGCAAATTCTCACTGATCCTTTTAGACTATGCCCCATTTTGCCATTTTCTTTAGAGTCTTTGTGAACTGTATTCCCACACTCAAGCCCTACCCTAAGAAATTAGTTGTTCTATACTCCTTGCTCCCCTAACCCTCGATCAGTAGACACATCTCACTAGATCACAGCTATTTGTTTACGTGTGTGTCTCTCCAACTAGAATATAAGCTCTTTGTGTCCTCATTATCTATTAATACTCAATAAATGTTTGTAAATGAATGTCAGCCCTCCTGAAGCTCACAACATAACTAGGTGACAGAATTTACACCCAAACTGATTAGGAGAACGTGGAATTCAGAGAAAGTTGATAGTTGAAAATAGTAAAGGCTGTATAATGTTGCATTACAAATGGTAATTTGATTTCTCTCACTTTTTTTCTAGTTTATGCAATACAGTCACTATTTTAAATTTTTTTCTACATGACTTACATAGATGAGATGCCCAATAAGATAATGTATAAATAAACGAGCAAATCAATGTAAGCCTGGTAAAGGTATTTCTTAGCAATTGGTGGTGCTAATTCCCTTCAGTTTGGTGAAATTGAAATTAGCCAAAAGAAGGAGGGTGTGTTTTAGTCTCCTGGCCTAAGCAACACATTAGCCAGAGAAGAAGATTCTGGGGAGACTTTTGTGGTCATTGAAGAAGAGGAAAGTGGAGTTACTAAAAATATGGTTTACAGAAATACACTCTAATATACTTTAATAGCCTAAAGAAATACGAGTTCTGATAAAATATGATGCACTTCAAAATTGCAGGAATCCATAGAAATAAAAAAGAGGGAAAAACAATACAAAGTGATTAAGAAACATATTTTTCTAAACTCAATAAAGAAAGGACTCTGGCATATGTATATAAAACCTGAAATCATTTTCCTGAACATTGTATCTTTAGAAAAATAGTAGCAACCAAAATAACTCTGGAAATCTTACTGGACTAAAGAGACATTGAGGCCCTGGCCGGTTTGGCTCAGCAGGTAGAGCATTGGCCCACAGACCAGAGAAGAAGTATTGTGTGCATCTTGACTCTGAAACTAAAAAATAAGAAGGGCCAAGGCCATGATAGAGGTTCTCCTAACAGAACGCATGTTTGCACGTCAGCTGTCGTGATTCATTTTGCACATTTCACTTGAGTGGGACAGTGTGACTATTATGACTATCCTGTTGGATTTTTAAATTTTCTTTCATCCCACATGTTCTTTGGAATCCATAAAATAATACATTTCCATGAATTTTAAGGGCAAAAAGTAATATAAAAATAGTCATTGCTAAGGAATGACAACTTATAAAGAATCTGTTTTCCCAGATGGTCCTAAATAAAATCCAGTAAATCATCAAGTTCATTTAGGAAATAGTCAATGAGCATTTAGTAAATTTAAGTCTCTGGATTAGGTGCAATAAGGAGTAAAATTAAAAAAAAAAAAAGACCAATAAATCTTTGACCGATAGAAACTGAAAAATGTGATAGTGACCTTAACTTTGTTCTATCAGTATTCCCAGCCTTTCCCCATGCATCCCTCTTTATAAGGAATTTTTCTTCAATTCCAGTGTCTAATGAGAATTTACTTTTTATGCAGGTGATTCTTGGGCCTTTATAACACAAAACTGGGAGATCTAGTCATGGGGCAGAATGATAAGAGAAAAAAGATTTTTTCATGAAGAATCAGTATCAGAGTTGTTCTTTGTTAGGAATAAACCTGGTAATGGTTCAAGCAAGCAAACAAAAAAAAAATGTTCCAAGCAAATGTGTTAAAGTAAATTTGCATAATAAAAGGGCTAAAAATTAGAGGGGTATGGGTTAGAAAATCAATGAAACTGAAGTTCTGTAAAAGAAAGTTTGAGAGGGTTGACAAGTAAGAGTTCAATGAAAAAAAATAGTCAATGAAAATTGGGAAAGAGAGAAAAGAGTATTTTTATAGGTTGTGAACTAGACCTTTTTTTTAACATTCTTAAAG